AAGTGTTTTATCCCACAATAGAAAAGCACTATGTGGGCTTAAATATATAATAAACATTCATGATTAAATGTTTATCCTGGGGGAATTGTTACATCATGAGGTGAGGGAGGAGCAGGGAACGCCCCCGTGACGCCGCTTCATCGCGCGCCGCTTCACCGCCCTTCACCGCGCGGTTTAAGTTTGGTTGCATTGATGAAATGATAGAAACAGGATAAAGGAACCTTTCTATGGTGGACGTGTTTCTGATGGGAGGAGCTGATGGAGGAACCAAGCAGGAAGTGACATCATCAGAGCAGAGCTCTCTAACCCTGAAATCCCACATCCTATATTTTTATATTTTTAGGATTTGGGGAAAAATTGGCAGAAAGTTCCCATCCCTGCACCAGAGCGCCACCTGTTGGATCTATGAACGGTTTTCCATCCTTGCAACCAAACTAGTAGCAGTAGTGGAGTTTGGAGATGTAATCTACTTCTTAAATCTACATTTGCTCTCCTCTAATTTATCCAGAAGTTCTGCAATCACCATTTTTCTCTCCCTCCCAGCTCAGTGGTCGGCTGCAGATTTAGCCTTCCCTGGAAATGCCTTTCCTAATGTTTATTTTTATTTTTTGCCAACCTCTCATTACAAAGCAAAAATGCAGGCAATCGTTCCGCATTGATAATGAAAGAAAATGATTCGGTCCATCCTTTGAATCCTCTTTTCTCATCAGCTATCTTCCTTTTCCCCTTTGGGATCCATGGAGACACTCCAGCAGCCTGGCACTGCAGCGCTGGTTGCAAGTTATGACACCTGATCTCTATGGCTAAGACGCAAATTATTGTCTAAATTTATTTATTATACAAATGTTTACAGCATTGGAAAACATAATTATTTTTTGTTTGACCTCCTGCACACCATATCAAAACAATAAAAAAAAAAACCCGATTTTCAGAAATATTTGAAAAAGCTCCAAGGAGCCGCAAGGGGAACGCTAAAGAGCCGCATGCGGCTCCGGAGCCGTGGGTTGCCGACCCCTACTTTAGTATATTCTGCTGTAAAATTAGTCCTATATTTAGTTTTTTTACTGGAGGAGTGACCCGCTGCCGTTTCCCAGGATGCACAGCTTTGAGTGGTAACTAGGTGACTGCCAGAGAGGAACCAGAGAAACTTATGGGACTGATCCAATCAGCTCTCTGATCAACCAGTCTCCTGGAACGCTGGTTGATCAGAGCATCGCTTTGGACAGAAACGCTGCACAGGTTTCACCAGCAACCTCCTCCTCACACCCCGCTCTCTGTTGTTCCTGAGCAATCGCAGTAGTTCTAATCAACACATGATGCATGAATTATTCTACTGCCGCTCGATCTCACTCACATTAAAAAACTCCACCTCCCATAGTCTAAAATCCGCGATAATTTATCCGACTTGCGGGCATCAATGAACAACTATCTATATCAGGGAGACTTCCGGAACTTCCGGGAGACTTGGGATGTCTGGTAACAGTAGAGAAGCTGCAGAGAGGTCTGTTAAACTAGGACTCTGCTTCCTGGTCTGCACCCTGGGGGGTCAGGTTTTTGGGGGATTAATAAATGTGTCCAGATTCCTAGAAAGAAGAGCTGCACCATCCAGAGTGGGATGGATGCCGTCTCTCCCAATCAGACCAGGCTTTCCCCAAAGTGAGATGAAGCCTCGTTTGGTCAAATTGCTTCATGTGAACATGTCACCACCTACTGGTGGAGAGCAGAACTACAGCTAGTAATAAATTCAGATTTTTTTTGTTTTTTTTTCCCATTTAAGTTCTGTGGAAATTTCTAATGGTCATGGTAATCGGTGTGTATAATAAAATCTTTTGTACTGTTTTTTTTTAGTGTAAAATGTCTTAGAAGAGAAAGATCATTAATGCTACAGTTTTTCTGCCATTATAGGACAATAATATCAAGCAGACTGAAAGTCCACATTTGGCAATGATGAGTAAAATGAAAGCTGTTTTTATTCACCTATTATAGTTTTTCTACAGTTTTTGGTTTTAATGGGGTTGGAAGTTATGTGTTCAACCAATCTTTTGGTTAAACTGGCCAATCTAACTTGGCAGTGTGTTTACCCAATCTAGTAAGGAGGATCTGGAACCATCAACCACAGGAGAGGAAGTCAGAGTCTTACAGCTGACGCCACTAACACGGATAACTGCTTCCTGCAACAATATTAGCTATGAATGAAGTTACACCTGAATCCAGAGTTTGATCTAACTAGAATAGATTTAACCAACTAGATTGGTTGGAAAAACAACCAATCTATTCAAACTCCCTCATCTGGTCTGAACGCTGAGCCTGTTTAGATGCATGTGGCGCTTTCTGAACCACTTCCTGTAGCGGTCACCTGGTATCACGGTGGCGAGGCTTTGGACGTCATCATTTTTGGCCCCTCCCCTAAATCAATCACGCCTCGAAGCCGCAGCTCATCTCATGACATCACTACCCAAAAGGTTTGCCAAGTATGAATGTATCCCAGGTCATTTTCAGGACGACCAGCGGCTGAGTGACGACATGCAGCTAAACACGTCATCATGTAGCATCACGCCGCTGTCCGCTGCTGAGCTGGACCATCACTGGGGTCCAGTCATCAGGGAGTCCACCGTTGGTCTCCTCAGAACATTCGTCCTCCTGGTCTTAGGTCCTCCAGGATCCCAGGGGACCTCCAGACAGGCGGCCATGTTCCGTTATGAGGGCGGGGCTTTGCTCTAACTGCCCTGATTGGTGGATTCCTGCAGAGATCATCCAGTCATGCTGCTGGTTCCAACCTTCTCCCACTGATGGACTGACTGGGATCAGTGGGACCTTCGGAGCAGCAGAGACGTTTCTGGATCCTCCTCCAGGTCTCTTCCTCCAGACCTTCCAGTCTCTGAGGTCTGCAGACGTTCCTCCTGCTGGGTGTCTGATGGACCCTCTGCTGGAGCCTTTCATTGGGTCCAATCAGCCGCTTCCATCTGACAGAATCTGGGTGGTTTACATCTGAGGTTCTACATCTGTAGATCTGTTTTCAGTTCTGGCTTTGGTTGTTTTACTGCAGGTATGGGGTCAGAAGGTCCAGAACGGTTCACTTCTCTGATCATCTTCAGAACCATCTCTCTCTCTCTGCTGTCTCCCCCCAGGATGGGTTCCTCCCCGTCCCCCCTCCCGGTTCCCACCCCCCTCCCTGGCTGCTCCGTGACGCTCTGCCCTGAACTGGACCTGTCCCTCAATCTCAGCCCGGCGCCAAAGAACCAGCCTGTGCAGCAGAATGAGCAGCGGGAGCGGCCCCGCCCACAGCCCCGCCCACAGCCCCGCCCACTGGGACCAAACAGGAAGAAGAGGAACGCTAAGGTAGCAGTGAGCAACACATCATTAGCTCCTTAGTTAGCAGGCTACTAGTTAGGGATTCTGGACAGACT